TTGCAGACTATCCACAAACCTCACCACAAGTGGAAAGTGACCACGCCTTTCGCCAGCCACGCCTTCCACCCCATCGACGGCTTCCTGCAGAGCCTGCCGTACCACATCTACCCCTTCATCTTCCCCTTACACAAGGTCACCTACCTGGGCCTCTACATCTTTGTCAACATTTGGACCGTCTCCATCCACGACGGAGACTACCGCGTCCCCAAATCCCTGGAGAGCATCATCAACGGCGCCGCCCACCACACCGACCACCACCTGTACTTCGACTACAACTTCGGACAATATTTCACCCTGTGGGATAAAATCGGGGGCTCCTACAAGAACCCCTCGGCTCTGGAAGGAAACGGCCCGCACGACCTTTGCCGGAAGCTGGAGGCCGAGAAGGAGCACCAGGAGAACGGCATGGACAAGAAGAGGAACTAAGACACACGGCATGGAAGGTATATACATACCGATCAGTACGGACCACGCGCGTGTACCGGTGCTCATCTGAAATCTAATATTCAGAACGGCCGCAATTAAAGTGGAACTCTGGGCAGAGCTAATACCTGTTGGGGATACAAAAACATTTAATTTTTACTATAATGAAAGTCTTCTCTGGGCCCAGCTAGGGTGATGCCGGGAAATAATCGCTGATGATTCAAACCTTGGGGAGGTCGTTGCTCCATCGCTCCTCGCCAGTACAGGTTAGGGAGACGTCAGCGGAATTCGGAACTTGATAAGCGGGGTCACCATCACGTGGCATGCATAAAGAACCTATCCTGGACCTGGGGGGGCGGGGCAATGCTGAAATTCGACTTGCAGTAGTTTTTCTAAAATTCTTTGTGGCAGGAGAGGGGCTTTATTGGGGGGACGGGGTATGTTTCTTTCTACAGAGTTCCACTTTAAACCATCGGTATTGTAAAGTAGGTTAAGCTCTAAGAACCATCGCCGCTCAACAGCTAATTGCACAGTAGAAACCTATATTGGAGCTGCTTTACCAGCCAAGGAAGTGACCAGAGGACCAGTCAGAACGTTCAGCCACAGAGGTTATTTTCCCAGCATGGTGAGAAACATTTGTGAGCAATTCTGCAGATTATTCTCCCTTCTGACCACTGATAATGGCCCATTAAAGAGCACCTGTCCTTCCCTGATGATGATAACGCTGTGAAGGAGGACGGTGGGGGAGGTAGATGTTGCACTCATTTAAGGTTTGAGTGTATTTTGTAATTGTCATGTTTTAGGCCCGCTCAGCACTTGTGTGCCCCCCGCACTGTATGCTTGTAACCCCGGCAGTGTTAGGAGGCTTGCCTGTTGCAGAGTAATACACAATTGTCTATTCGAAAAGTCTCGGCAAACATGGCCGTACATTGGGAGATGTTGATTTGTCAGTTCAACCAATAACTACCAGAACCATCCACTACCAAGGTCTCCCCTATGGAGCCCGGGGAACATTTGTTGGCAACATTTGCAGAACTGACCAATCAAGATGGTTCCGTGTACGACTGAACACTTTCCCCACTTTGCCTCCATACTCTGGCCCTGTAGAAAGTAGGGATGCACCGATACCGGTATTTCAGTATGGAGTACGAGTACCGATATTTTTGTTTTCGGTACTTGCCGAATACCGAGTACCGGAAGTCCCATTCAGGAAGCCAAGCAGCGTGTAATAACTTGCCACCCGGCTTCCTGATTAGCAGGCAAGCCGTCCCCATGCTTCTCGTCACCAGGTGACGTGAAAGCATGGAGCCGGCTTTCTGGCCAGTCAGTTAGTCATTAGACGGCGCCTGGCTTCCTGATTGACCGGGAAGCCGGCTTCATGCTCCCTCGTCATGTAGTGGCGAGAGAGCATGATGCTGGCTTCCCGGTCAAACAGGAAAGCGGGCAGCATGTAATGACGCGCTGCCCGGCTTCCTGATACCAGAAGTATCGGGCTAGGCATCAGAGCATTTGGACGAACACGAGTACTCGCCCAAATACGCGGCATCGGCACCAATAATAGTATTGATAGCAGTGCATCCCTAGTAGAAAGGGGTGGAGCTCAACAACAAGGGCGGGATTTCATTGGTACAGAACACATTGCTTCAGTGATCCAAGAGGCGCAGCTTAATGACCCCTTTACAAAATACCCTAAAACCTTAATAAGGGGGGAAAAGGACAATACCAACTTCCCGACCACCCTCCTCACAGCATTTGCCCAACTTACAGGTGCTTTTAAATTAAATCCTGTTTGCACAGCTGTCTATAGTGATACCAGAATCTACCTCACCTCCGGGGAAGATCTAGAAGTGTGATTTCAGTTTGATGCATCACAGCGTAATTCTTCAATTCCAGCTTCCAATGTGCTGGAGAATAAGACTTCTACCGGCTTAAAGTGACTCTAAACTCCGGAGTTCAATCTTCAAAATACATTCCAGTCCCTGAACTCTGAACAACAATGTATCATATTTGTGTATCACTCGGCTGTAGATCCTCCAATCATCTCTGACACTGTCCTTCCTTCTGGAGGAGGGCTACTTCTGTTCCCCATGGTCCCTGTGTGTGTTGTAAAGTAGTCACCGCTCCAAGCTCCGCCCCCCGGGATGGACTACAATCTCATGTTTAGTTTAGTAATATGTATTGAGATTGTAGTCCATCCCGGGAGTGAGCTTGGAGCGGTGACTACTTTACAACACACACAGGGACCATGGGGAACAGACGTAGCCCCCCTCCAGAAGGAAGGACAGTGTCAGCACCAAATCCGGGATGATTGGAGGATCTACAGCCGAGTGATACACAAATAAGATACATTGTTGTTCATAGTGAAGGGACTTGAATGGATTTTTAAGATTTATCTCCGGAGTTTACTGTCACTTTAAATCACAGATTGCTTTCTGTTCTCTTACCTGTATAACCTGCGTAGGACGGACACAGAGCAGACGTATGTACACAATAACAAGGACAGATGTTGCCATTGATGTGATAAGATGTTACAGAAGTTCACATTCAGGTATAAAGTCCTCGGCGTGGCTTTTATCTCCTCAGAGAGACCAGCGGCGCTGCAAGGACATCAGATTAGAGGAAGCTTGTTTTCCCAGTCAATGCAAACAGAACGTCTGCCGAGATCCTCCTCGCACGACGCGTTTCACCCACAGAGGGTTTCGCTGTAGAGACAATAAACTGTAGGACTAAGTCCTCTCTGTGGCAAAACGCATCAGTGAGGAAGGTCTGGGCAGACCATGTGTGTGCATCTTCTGGAACAATAAAGCTTCATCTATGCTGATGTCATCAGAGTGCGGCCTCTTTGATGAGCTCCATTCATCCAGTTCATGTGTCCACAGACATAGGCAGATCAGGGACCTGGGAGAGGAGGTTTCCGTGGTCAGATCTCATGAATGTTAGCCTTGCAGGTTATTGGTGGATCTTGCTGTGTAATAAAGGATTACATTGGTCGGAGTTAGGACACTGGCACAGTGCAGGTTGCGGTCAGTTCAGATACAATGTATCCTAATGATCTTGTCAGGTAATAATGAGAACGTGGTTCCACATTGTTTCCATTGTAGTGTTTTGTTTTGGTGTTGAAGTATTGCCGGACCCATAGACATTAGGAGCCCCTCGTTTGGGAACGGACCCTCAGAGGACCCTATATAAACCTTCTCAGTACATCGGTACCATCCCATGTGAACCCTTGCCGATGGGTACTGCGCAGGGGTACTCCGAGGTTACTTTGTAGCCCATTCTTGCTCCGTTTTGACCCCATACCTCATGAATCACTATCAGCAGCATCCGGTCATGTCTGGAGGTAGATTCAGAAGGTTCTCCAGTGAAAATAATGATTTTATTTTTGTAATGAGGCAGGGAGAACCTGCATATAAATGGTAGATCCCCCCCCCAGGAGAACCTGCATATAAATGGTAGATTCCCCCAGGAAAACCTGTATATAAATGGGAGACCTCCCCAGGGGAGCATACCAATCCTTACCTCTGGGAGGTGGTAGCTTCGCCTGCTGATGGCAGTGGAATGTTTTGGGGGTCAGGGGTAGGCCTGCTGTGTAGTTTGTATGATAATGATGACAGGGATGGTCCATAGGAGCATGAAAAGTCAACCGGCCACTTTCCACAGCAGGTATATGTCTCCTTCACACAGCTTCAGTAGGTGTCAGAGTCTCTTACCAAGGACAGGCCAAGCTTCAGAACTCATCATTGTCATGCTTAGGAGCGGCCTTCCATTAGCCACCAAAACAGGCCCCATTTTTGGGAGCTATGCCCTAACTGAGAACCCCCTTTAATGAGAATATTTTAAAGATAGAATGCATACCACATTTTTTTTTTAAAACTAACTTGATTTGCCGTGGAAATCCGCGCGCCGCGCTCTCTGGCTCTGAGCTCCACCTTCTGCCATTAGCATGCACATCGTAGGGAGAGGGTGCAGAAGCCGTGCGATAGGCTGATCTCACACATGTGCCAGCACATAGCCTAGCAGCAGTCCGCTCTTCCTAGGGTGACAACGCTGCTCCTGCAGAGTCGCAGACTGTGTTGAGGGTATTACCCCAGGACAGGAAGGTCCCTTAATGGCAGAAGAAACATAAGCCTGCTGAGATAAAACAACTCCCTCAATGCAATTAAAGTAGATAGAAGGTTTTGGCTGGAGTAGGGAAGGGTTACAACTTGTCCTAGATTTAAGAGACTCTGTACTTAATCTCTTTTTCTATTTTAAAAGAGAGACCCCTAAACAGACCCCTGATGTTTCCCCAGAGCCCCCCGACGGTAAAGTAAAAAAAAAAATTATAAGAATAAAATAAATGAAAAATAATTCAAAAAGGTTTTAGAAAAAAGTCAGTTTCGGTTTTGGCTCAAAATGTCATTTTGGTGCATCTCTGGCGACAACCCTCGTCAGCTTTTTTTTCTGTTTCCCAGTGGGGAGATTTTGTCATCAGGATCACAGGAAACTAGCGTCCCCATTGGAAGATTTCCTGTCTATTCCTGTTCTGGTGACCACCCAAAATGTGGGATTTTCTTTCACTGATAACGGTCGCAGGTCATACAGGGGGGGGGGTTGGTACCTAGCTGTTCCCTAATCACTTCCAATACAGCAACATTCATCATCAGCAGAGTCTCCGCCTCCTTATAATTCATATAACAAAGCTGAAGATTTATAGCTCTTCCTTTCCTTGGTGGCCTCTGCCCCATCCAATCAGAGAGAAGTGTGTTTACGTCTGGATGCGGTGGTGAGCTGCATGGCAGTACAGGATGTGGTGGGTCGGGGAGGATAGGTCCTGTGGCGGGTCAGGAGGATGGATCCCGTGGCAGTTCAGGATGGGGTGGGTAGGGGAGGATGGATCCCATGGCAGTTCAGGATGGGGTGGGTAGGGGAGGATGGATCCCATGGCAGTTCAGGATGGGGTGGGTAGGGGAGGATGGATCCCATGGCAGTTCAGGATGGGGTGGGTAGGGGAGGATGGATCCCATGGCAGTTCAGGATGGGGTGGGTAGGGGAGGATGGATCCCATGGCAGTTCAGGATGGGGTGGGTAGGGGAGGATGGATCCCATGGCAGTTCAGGATGGGGTGGGTAGGGGAGGATGGATCCCATGGCAGTTCAGGATGGGGTGGGTAGGGGAGGATGGATCCCATGGCAGTTC